AAACTTGTTTATTTTTTACGCATGGCGCAGCCAAAAACGAAATCTACCTTGAACTTTGGTTGGGCGATCCTCTTATTTTCATCTCGGATCATCGAACCAGCGCATTTGGCAAAAATATCGAAGTCGCGACTGACTTGAGGACAAAGACCGGACTTGTATTGGAGCGAGTGATTTCCCGAGGATCGGACGAGCCAAAATTTACGAGGCACAATCACATGGTTCATAAAAACAACTATAACCCAGGTAAGCCCATGATCTCATGATATGAGCTTCATGATCGAAAAAAAGATGCTCAAGTTGCCATTTCCTCATCAGCGCGAAGCGAATTGATGAAATTGAACATTTCTTCCGACGACATAGGACTGTCATCTCTTCACATTCCAAAATAGACAAGACAAAAACCATGGAAATCACACGACAAGCACCATTGACAACCCATCTGCATCCGCTTTCTTGCCTCTTTTTCCACGAATCACACTTTCATCCCCGAAGGTGAACATTCTAGCGTTATTCAAGTATGAGCAAAAGAGCGCCATACCCAAAGTGTATTTCCGTGTCCACTCTTCGTTCAAGGCGGGACAAACTGCTCAAGACATTACATCGGCTCTGAGAAAGCTTATGATCCCATTCAGGGATGCTTTTGTCGTTTGATCATTTCGTTGCTCGTTCCAGCATACTCACAACGAAGTCCTTACCAAGCTTATCAAGTGGGAGCGCCTTCTTGATCAGCCGTGATCATTGCAGGAGACATCCACCAAACTTAAGCCGCTTCTGAAGCCGAATTTCAAACGTCAATGTCAAAACCAAAGAATACGACGATCTTGTATTCAACGCATGGGTGACTCGCCTAGAAATTGCCTCTGATTGACAATCCACAAAGTTCAAGCCAGTCGTTGATCTTTACATCGATCAATACTGCACGTACGACCGCCTCGACTCATCTCATTTGATCTCTTCAATCTCTCCATAGAACACGCAGCCACTTCGGTCAAGCATCAAGGTCTGGGGCTATCTTCTGAGGTTTATCGTCAGGTCCCGAGAACTCCACCCAGCCAAAGTTCTCACCTTTGGAGGAATGACTTCAGATGTGATCAAGACAAAATTCAAGCATGAAATTGCCTCAGTCTTGAATCAAATTACGGCCTTGATGTCTCTCAATCCAAGTACTGTGATTGTTGCTCAGATCTGGGCACTAGAACACTTTGCCTCCCTGTTAACAAAATTAGAAAGTCTGCAGAGTGGTAAGATTAATCTCTTCTCAAGTCTTTCAAGGTTTTTTTTCGCGTCCGTCCAATTAACTGTGAAGTCCAATTCATTCCTGTATTGTTGAAATCCTTAAAAATGTTTTTGTCGCATCACAACAAGATGATAACCAATGTAATGACAATGATATATACTACTTTGATTTCATACATTCATCACATGACTTGTCTCAATCGAAATGGCTGGTCACAATTGCGCATTTGTACAGGGTCATGATCACCCAAGATCAATCCAGTTCTGTGAGTATTTGAGATCCTTGATTACGCTGAGAAATGTAATTGACTCAATCAATCAATCTTATCCTTGTATGCTTATAGCACGGTGGTCATCAATGAGATGATGGATGGGCTGGATAGCTCACTTGGAAATTCGCCTAGCAGTCAGAACCACAAAGTGTCACTTGCTTTCTTCCATGGACAATTATAATCTCTCCGCATCGCATCCAATTGATGAACACTTACACAAGCAGGTAGAGACGTTTATGCAGTCTGTGAACCAATTCCTAGTGCTTAGCATGAAATCTACCACCTGGTCACGGGGTCAGTTTGCTTTTCTCTCCGGGTCTCGTCCCGTTTTGGTCAAAGGTGAAATATGTATCTGATCGTCATAATCTTTGTTCATTGGTCTCGACTGGCAAGTCACTCATGTAACAAAACAAAAAGCTAGCATGAATTGAGATCAATTTGGAATTCCAAAGAGAAGATGATAGCCCATGGAGTTGATAAGCGTCTGGCCTCAACCTCTGCCATCTTGGAAAGAAGATATTCACACCTCTTCAGTCAAACACCAAGTATGGTTGATATCTTTTCCGACCCTTGTAGGAAGATTAGACACAAGAAAACTCTCTTGAAAAGTCAGTTGTAAAGCTTTGAATCCATTTCCCAACCCAAGCTCATCTTCATCGTGATTGTTCTTCTCATTCATTCATAAACCGTCACCATTTCAGAAATGTCCTTAGAAATCCTATTCACCAAGAGCATCTTGCTCAAGAATACATGCTACTATTTATTATCTGAGCCTGATATTGTCATTTCTGAGGAAGATTTACATTTTGATAGTCTAGTATCACTTTAGAAGTAAAACAAATATTACGACAGAAGATTACTAATTAACAATTCAAATACTGTCTTATTATGGAAAATCACTTATCGCAAAGGAAACATACAAAACCGTCCCAAGAACTTTGAAAGATGTCTAACGTGCAGGATGTATCCAAGAAAATTCTATCTTCTCGCTTGAAGTGTTGTCAATACTTGAGTTGTGATCTAAACAAGGTAGCTTACTTAGCCTCAAGAGGATAGTAGAATGACAGCTGCTTCTTACCTTAGTTCACTTTCTTCCTACTTTGCAACATATTATGGGTCCCAATACTTTGTTATGTCTTAACTCTCATCTCAAATCAATTTTATTACGGTAAACAAACTTGATCCCATGGAGTACATATAACCCAAACATGTCATTCACAAAGAGCTCACAAAGTAATCGATCTCTATTTGATAACCTTTCTAAGTCTTATCCACATCAAAAGTGGACGAAGTTAATTGGCTTGCGTTGTTGATACAAAGTCTAGACTGTGACTGTTATTGCCGAGTCACTACCTAAGGTGATCAACATCAAGCCAATATCAGATTACGTGAGTGTGTAAGCTATTCTCATGGCGCCTCTTTGTTCATAGAGGTTAGAGACTAAAGAATGTGATTTTTTTCTCACAAATCTGACTTTCTAGCTCCTCAGTGATCTTCAAGCAAAATGGTGAGATGCAAATGCAGATCAATCAACAGCAAAACCTTCAGCAACAGTTTCAGCACGGGACCACAGAGCCTCACAGAGCCAGCTGACATCCTCATCACCCCTCAGGATCACTAATGGTCTCAATAACTCTCCTTCACCTCATTCTATCAGCAACACACAACACCTCCCAACTCAACCCACCACAAATCTTTGATTGCTATAAATACAAAGACCCAAACTTGAAGATCAATGCCACCAATTGAAAAGTGAAACTTTGGAAACTCTGATTGAAAGGCTGGTAGGATACCTATTTTAGACTATTGATGATAAACCCTTCAAAGTCAACAACAACAAGCATGAAATTTGGAAAATCAATAATGACAACCTGGCTTCATTTTGAAATCAAACAAGTAGTGTTGCATTTATGCAACAATTGTGTACAATGACAAAATAGGTATGATAACCAGAAACAAGAGAAATGACTTAACTGGTTTTGAATCCTTGCTTGTTTTGAAAGTTCATAGTTCAGGTAAAACTTTGCCCCCACCAACCGCCAATCAGGTACCAAAAGATCACAATGTCAATAATATCCACCCTGGTCCAAGTGAACGCCTCACATTGAACAAGGTAGTAGCAGGTGTCTAGCTGAATTGACTGGAACTTCAAGACCAACATCACAAGATCCAATTGATTTTGGCCGACTCATAGATGAATGTGCATGTGATGAAGCACTCGAATTGATCAACTTCAAACCTGATCTTTCAGTTTAATTCAGCTAGTAAAACCTTCAATCTCTTCTCACTCCTTTCAAGACAAGAACAAGAGTCCAATAGTTAGCATGTAAGTTGCCAAAGATGTTGAGCAATCCTTCAACTTGCCACTCTTTGAGCTCGGTGGGAACACCAAAATTGAGACAATACTGTTGGATGTTCAATTCTATACACTGACTAGAAAATGTTACTGATCTTCTTTTGATCCTCTCAAGATGGACAGTGATCCACAAATCACTCAAAAGCAAAAGCAATGAAGTGATGTTGATGTTGTTTGAAGTAAACTAGGCTTGCTCAAAATCATTATGAACTCTATCAATGATGAAATCATTTTCTTTTATGTAGTTTTCCCTATGAGGTTTTGGATTGTAAAGTTATCAATAAAAATTCCAGATTGAGGTCATCAACAAGATGAGCGGCAATGGGATGATATGCTTTGGTAAGCTCAGCTCAATTTTCTAATTTGAAAGGTGTGTAACCAAATAGATATACATGTACTGACATTCACACTCCATAGGTCAACTGGTTTAAGATAATCAATTGGATTGAAGATTTTTACACACCAAAAGCAGAAGATAGAAAAGAGAAGCTTTTGAATTATGAAAAGCCTTGGATAGATGAGCAAACCAGCAGAAAACCACACATAGCAGTCGAAGATTCTATATCAGATTTCAATCCATGAACAATTTCACATTAGCAATCACCAAAGTATCACCCTTGCGCCTAGTTTGGAACAATAAATATTCAGGTTTAAGATTTGATTTTCTGTTGTTTAAATGTAGCACAATCTTCAAACTTAACCTGTCCCTCTCTGTTGTGCGAGATGCTTCCCCCAGAGCGCACCACAGAGAGGGACGGGTTAAGTTTGCACAATCTTCAAGATGATACATACCTCACTTGCATCTTTCCATGTACAACATTTCCTTCATCATAAATCCAAGTGGATATGTATATTGTTACAAACACCAGCTTCAAAACAAAATAACAAAGAGCTACATGGATTATATGATCAATCATCTCGGATACAGGAAGCTTGCACAAGATTTACACCAATCAAATGATTAAACGTCAAAATAGGAGTACTTTCAGGATCAGATCTGTTACAAAATTTCCAGCCGTGTTCACCTATGTCAAGATGATTCAAACCTTGTGATAACTTTGTTCACTTTCAAGTTTATTAATAATTCAAATAAATCTGTAAGCCCCATTAAACAATATGTAACTTGATGTTCAACTTTACTGTTTCTTGACAAGCATGATAGCTGCTTTGACTTCATCGCGTTTAACGCAAGTTTTCCTGTCTGTATCCAAAACTGCCTTGTCCCAAAATATAAAAATTCAATTTTTGCTAGAGGTATGAATCTGACTGTTAGTAAAGTGATTTTTGAAAAAAAGACATTAGGATCAGTTACAAACAAGTGATATTCCGGAGAAACATTCAAGATGATCTGAGTTATTATCGAGATCAGAAGGATGCGGGGTCGATTGCCATGTCAGTTGCAATCTTGACTGGACCGAATGTCACTAAAAATAAACTATGATTGCAAATTTCATCCAAATTGGGTGGTTCATATCCAAAATTTTAGTTGACAGGAACTCATCCGCTAAAAGTCATGAGATGAGTTGATACACTTGAGCCAGCCATCGAATTCAGCAAAGATAGCTTGCCTCATCAAAGCTCGTTCGCAAATCCTCATCACCTTCAATGGATAACGCTGAACAACACCCAGCTTCAGACCAAAGGAGTTGTGTTTCTGAGCAAATAAGGAACAGTCGAGTTCTGAACTGCTCCACCAAGACAAACCATTCTAGTCCAGAACAAGGAAAATAATTACCATCTGGAAGTACACATGTTTGCTGGCTCCATTACAGATGATGACACCTATGTAATCTTAGGGTAAGATTACAAACGGGCATTTAATAGAATTCGATTTACCTTTGCAAGGTACATATTGAGATGACTGAACATATGATTGATATGACCAGAATCCCTGTTCCCCTGTTCCTAATACTACTTCAAATCTCACTTTGACTTTCTCACCTTCTTCATCACAAATAAAATTCAGTCCCAAATCATCAAAGTAATCCATATTGACACCTGAATCGATTCCTTCTCCTTTCTCTTGATCTATCTAATAATCAAAATCAATCCATCAAACGCATTACAAATGCACATTCTGAACGTAAAAGCTCACCTGCTTCAAGTTCTTTTTCAGCTTTAATAGATAGAAAAGAATCAACTTCTACAAAGAAATATCCTCATAGAACCCAAGTTGATTATTGAACATACTCATGAAGGTGGATCCGAACTATCTGATCATAATCTTGAACCTGAATGAGTCGATAAATTGCACAGAAAAACACCTTGACTCGAAACCTTCCATTCGGGACGTTTCAAAGCTCCAACATCGGCGTCACCATACCACCAGAGGATCGGATTCAACTTCCCAACACGATGTAGATATTGTTCTAGTCAAACAAGAACCAAGGAAAAGTGTTGTTGGCGACACGGCGAACTCAATTCTGCATTTACTGATGGGCAGGAGGTCAATTTTCCCGTGACCAAAGGCTTGAATGCTTCCAATTCCCCACATCCATTCTCATGCCATCTACTGATACCTTCGGAAACCTCTAAATTATGTCAATGCTCTATACGTATCACATTCCTTGTCCACATACAACTGAAGAACACGTATCCACTTTTGTCTCTGATTGTTTCCAGATCACTCTTGGAACTTATGAAGCTTATAAAGAGTTTTGCACTTGTAAGACTTCAATTTACCCGCCTTACCGTTGCACGGCAGCTCTACACGACTCAAAACCTTGCCGCTCTTGAAGCATCGGTTGTAAACTTTATAATCCCTGTTGCTTTCCCTTTCGCAGTCACCGTCGGCCTCCAAATCGAAACTCTCTTACCTCATGGACTCCTTGATCCTGCTCCAATTCAAAACGTTTAGTGAAGCTTTTGCTGGTGTGGATCCAGTTCTGTTCAATTACAAACTCAAGACCTTCATCATTCTGATGATGAGGATGATGACAAAAGACTTACATGGACCGACTGCTTTGATCGACAGCCGAACTACAGATCTCGCCTCTTGCCCCTATTGTACAATTTCCTTCACCTCAAGTCAATTCATACTGGAAGGATGGGTAAGTGACGCAGTCAAAAACTGTGCTTAAATGTATTGAGAGCGCGCACAATCTCATTAGAATCTTCATCCGAGAAGAAAAAGGTTTCACACTACGAGCCCAACCAGATTTGCACGTCTTGGTGTTGCTCAAGACACGATATCTCGACTTCTTGACCAAAGGCTCAAACCTATGCACACGGAAATTTGGATTTTTACGTTACTCGTCCTCTGCATTACGTGACATCAACCTTGGTTTGTCAGCCCGTTCTATAAGGGAGACTCTTTGGTCACAGCTGACTCAATTTGACAACGACTGGGTGATTTTAGTAAAGTGTGAGTTTATCATTTTCTCATTATCCACTGTGCCGTGTATTTCACCACTGAGATTGAAACTGTGAAAATGATCAGAAAGAAGATAGCAAGATTGATGAATTACCATTTGTATTTTTAGATGTCTAGTCATCTTGGAACTTGCTTGCCAGCTCAGCGGAATCCTCACCAATCTATTTCTCACCTGAAAATTCATAATCATTGTTGGAAAATTTACCTTATTTCAATTATCCAATGGAAGCCCCTTTCTTAAATATTCATCAGCAGAAATTTTATCAAAATTCAGAAACCTGCCTCATTTTAATTATCTCAACAAAGACCGTTTTCAAATAAATTAATCTGTCATTCTCTCACTCTTCACGCTCTTAACCATTATCTATTTATTGAGCGTGATAATTTTGAGCCACCTTACCTTGACTGACTCGCATTCCAGGCTTTAAACATCACCTAGCCCACAAATTTTCAAACGTTTCTTCAAAACATTCTAGAAAGAGGACTCGTTGTCGACTCAGAATACTTTTTATAACAATTTGGATTTGATAATCAATCAGCGAGATGAATCCTTGGCGTGAAGGTAGGGAAAGTTCTGGTATTTTTTCTGTTTTTGGTAGAGACAATTCACCGCACTAAGTCCCTAGCAGTGAGCTCTCAAATCAGCTCAAATGCCCATGCGATTGTTATTGATTATCCACGTCTTCACCATGCTACTAGTACTGATGCTGTCCTTTCAGACAAGTTAAGTTGCAAGCCAAAGCAAACTAGTTGCAATACTTTTTGAGGGACGTGGGTGTCGATGGTCTCAATGCCTCCCCTTTCATTACTCGGTATATCAATAATCACCCATTGACTTTATCTCTCGGAGGTTCCCTCAAATGTTACTGAGAGTACCATTCAATTAATGGTAAGCCCCTCCCAACTAACTTTTCTGGGGTGTGTTCACTAACTCGAAACCCTTTTTGGTCCAACCACTCAGGGGGTATGATATGGGTACGAAGAACATCTTCACCGTGCTAGACGAGTTCCCTCTACAATTTTATGTTTCACTCGATTTCCAAAAGATGATGCTCACGATTTCTCATCCAATGGTCATCAGTTCAAGATCACCATCATCATCAAGACAACTAATGAAAGCTTTTATCCATAATTATTTCACTCAAGATGAGTTTGATTGACTCAGAAATATCAACAAGAAAGAAAGATTCAAAGCAGGATCACATCGAGGTCTGGACAATTTGTATCACCAGCTTTCTCCGAGGTCTAGACCTAAAAAGATGTCAACATCGGCAAACTTCAAACACAGACAATCGAATCAGTAATAAACTCGTCGATCATTCACTCGCTGTTGACCAATCCCGACTTCATCATTTGATAAATTATTACAATCAATTCTTAACTCTACTCATCAGTGCAGCTCCAGATCGATTAGCTTCTTCTCCCATCTTCACCGCACCCGATTTGTTGATAGGTTGTACAAATTCGAAAAACTCGAGAACAGCAACTTGCCCCTCAATCAACTTCAAATCACGTCATCGCAGGGACTGAACAGGATGCTACATTCACATTCGTATCTACCTTCAAGACTGAAATCGATGATACTTCGACTACTGTCACTGCCTACAAGTACAATGGTTTGAAATCATTGCCAAACGTGCGCAGGGTCCGTTTGTTGGTATTGCTCCGGCAATTATTCAAGCCGGGACACGTACTCCTTGAAATGATCTGGTCGTCGCACAGGTCAAGGTGCGGAATCTCATGGTCCATCATTCTGTTCAATACTAACTAGTTTATTAGATCATGACATTCATAGCATATGTTTTGAGGGCACAAACATCAGACGTCCAACTGTTTACGCCTGATATCCCGCTGATTGTAATTAGGAATCGGATGCTGAAGGACATCCCCCCAGAATCTTCACCTTTTCGTCGCGAACTTATCATCGCAGCCCGACATATTCTCGGGACGGATTACCGGTCTTACTTTCTACCGTACCTTAACCACTTATTGGATCATCACATCTTCATAGGAACTAGTGTTACCTCTTTCAAGAGCCTACCACACCTAGTATACAGTACCATCGCCGAAATGTGTTCAGCACACCAAAGCTGACCTCAAGCCAGTTCGATTCAATTCAGTGCAGCGATCCAGTTCATAAACGTTTTCCACGATCCTACTACTACGAGTACCACACAAGCGATGGCCAGCAAAGTGATCTCAACCTAGTTGATATGTCGGCTCACATAGATTCGAACCACAAGAAGCTATTTGAATATGTAAATGGTTAAGTGAGTGCTTTGTCCGAGAACTAGAGGCAATGGCCGAAACCCGTAAAGGTCAGTTGGAAACCTTGAATTCACGACATCAGGAGCAACTGGTCAACTTGACATCCAAGGACGCGCTCCTGAAGACGGCAGACAAGACGGAAGGACAACCTAGATGTGACGGATATAGCGGATTATGATTGAGCATTGGCATCGCTGAACGATAGGGAACGAACTGATATGGACCTGATGATCAAAAGGGCCAAAATGCTGGGGTGTGTTATGTCTATTGTCGAGCCGTCGCCAGAACAATCCAAAGGTATCCATCTCTTTCTTTCCATCTTATATAAATATATACCTGGACAAGTGTGACCAATTGCTTCCACAAATGGTGGGGATTCGAAACGACTTGTGCATATGCTAAAAGATTTCGCAATTTTGACGTACCATCATTCGGGTTGGCATCACCAGCTTCAGTGTTATTGTCAACAGTTTGAAAAAGATGGAAGCCCGGCTACCCGATGCTGCACTCTTGGGCCGGTTCTTGATAGCTGGCCTACAATGCCTGACTATATATGATTATCGACGTGAATTGAAGGAGGTCAAAGAGATAGCTGACACCTACATCCATATCTTTACTCAAATCGATCTCATCCTTTTCACCGAGATTGTCAAACCCAACATCGAAGCTATTGTCAATGAACTCCGCAACAACGCCAATCTCATGGCCTTCCCTCGATACCTACTTGCCAACCGAGTATTGACTAAAACATTCATTGGTATCACTCTCAGGTATCTTATGAAACACTTGGATGAGCTTGGGAGAGACAGACAATCTTGGGTTATGGTCCGACGTTCCAAGATGTGCGTTATGGCTGTCACATTGTTTCAAGATAAAGAGTTGATATTGCAACCCCACCTTAGTGAGCTTATCATGGAGTCCTTAAGATTGGCTCTCAATGCAATGAGCCAGGCCAGTATTATTCAGTCTTACAAGCACTGTTCTGGTCAATCCGTGGCGGCCGATTTGAGATTCTCTACAAGGAAGTTTTACTGCTATTGCGAGTTCTCCTGGGAAAATTGAAGAAACTTATTCATGCCACGAGTGATCCCAAAGAGCGAGATCTTTTTGCGGAACTCTGCTTGACGGTACCAGTCAGGTTGAGTGTACTTTCACCTCACCTCGATCATCTTATTTGAACCTTGGTTATTGCGCTTCAAGCTGTCCCGGATTTGATTGCTCAAGGTCTTTGTACGCTCGAATTTTGCGTGGACAACCTCACACAAGATTTCCTCAACCCCCTGATTGCTCCAGTTATGCTTGAAGTGATGGCAACATTATGTAGACTATTAAACCTGTCCCATATAACTCACAACATGCCCCTACAGCTATGCGTAGCTTAGGTCGCCGGAATCAAAGGACAGCCCAACTCAGATCAAATGCAACCCGATACACGGTCCAGAATGTTTTCTATCAAGTTAAACTGTCAAGAGCGAAGTCTTTCTCTAGCCCCGATTATTGATTTGGCTGAAAAGTTGATGAAGCGTAATGATGTTCACTACCGAGGCAATGCATTCGAGTTTGTGAAGAACATCACGCCTATTTTTTTCACAATGGTAAGCTATTCTGGTATCATTCTGATAGTTCCGATGCACAAATATGTTGACGAACACAAGAATTTGCCCCTGTCCTTCCCAGGGTTATGGTCTTGGTGAAAGAGAAGAGGTCTACACATCACTTCCAAAGGGCTTATTCGAGGCAGCTCGCGTAGCGGACATAGCTGACAATGCACAACAGCACCTGTCACTTCTCTTCGAGCATATCTTCACGACCGAAATCTGGCAAGTTGTTTGTGGACCTCAATTTGAAATGATGAGGTACTCCTTGACGCTCACGAACGTGGTTATGGATGCATTGTTAGACGACCTTACTGCTGCTGTTGATAAGCAATCAGCCGGTTCTCGGTTTACACTGGAAGTTTTCAAGGAACTCTTTGAGAGAGCCAAGAAATCTCCACCTCCCCGAGACAAAGTGAAATTGCTAGCGAAGCGTACTGTGTGTGCGAAGGCCAGCTCGTCTTGTTACGATCACTCTTGGCCTCGAAAATGTGCCGGCCATGAAATCCTTTCGCATCTGATAAACAATTTGGACTTGGAAATGTCGAATACGCATACACATCCCCATTCTAACTCTCGAAACGTTTAGCCTGGCTCTACGATTGGCAAGCCCTCATCCATGTCTACGTTGGAATCCTCCCATCAGCAACCTTCACCGTCCACCAAATCTGAGTTAATGAGCATGTCATTACCTCCGACAGGACCGCCTGAAAACATCTCAGCCCAATCGGGTTCAACATTTGCGACCTCCGACTCATCAATCTGCTGATACAACACATGCTTTTATGACAATCAATTCTCTTGACCTCTTGCAACAGTCTAGTCGCGGCAAGCTGGGTCCTCTCGACGACGTAGATCTTATGATAATTTTCAAAGTCTAGACATGCCACAATTAATCCTAGAAGGCAGTTGTATACTCCTTTGGTTAGTGTGTCAAGAAGATAAAAGCTGGACATGAAGGCTGACTCATCCCACTCATACAAATCTTTAAATCATCTCAGGTTGGTGTTGGGTTGGACAACACCAGAACCGCTCCGATACGCTATGGATTTCAACCCATTTTGGTATCGGAGCGGAGTAACCGCTATGAGATCACCGATACTTGACCGATATTTTTTTTTAAAAAAATATCACAAGGTATCGGAGCGGAAGGTATTTTACCGCTCCGATACCGCTATATATCGCTGCTATAAGGGCTAAAAGGCATATTGAAGTGCCCTCAGACCCTTCCCATATCGGAGCGGTCAGACCGCTAATGGTTTTCTCGCCTTGGGATGGCGGAGCGGAGCCACCGCTACGTATAGTGGTCAATATAGCGGTGTAAAAACCGCTCCAATACCGCTCCGATACCGCTATATGTTGCGGAGCAGTTCTGGTATTGGGTTGGACGTAAGCTTGGACTGTTTTGAAGTTTAACTTGATCCACGAGTTTACACTGTCAAAACTATGGTGAATCCTTCAATTTACTCAATCCAATTGATCTGTAATTTTTAATGTTTTTCCATAAAATTGCAAGCAACCCGTCTGGTCTGATTGCGGATGTCAATATTCATCGGGCCACTGCTTCTAGTGCACCTGGTCCCTCAAAAACTCAAGCACAGTCCTCAGGCGGTTTTGATATTTTTTATGGTTGTTTGATGCCTTGACAAGCAACAATCCTGGTGTGATCGTTCCTCTCATACCGGATAAAAACCTGAGGAGTACAATTTTGTTCTTGATTCCTTGATCATGAATGATTTCAAAGATATATCAATGATGTGCTCATATGGTTTCGTGAAGGGTTAAAATAGGTCGCTTTCAAGAAGGATGCATTGCTAGCTACTTGAAGGGTCACATTTAATTTTTTTTACAAAAGACTGCCAATCACCCGACGTTGATCAGCGATCCGGATTCAAAACTATCTCTAGAGAGTGATTCTTCTAGCTTAGAGGTGAGCCGTAAACTTCGCTAAGCAAATCAACTTTCACTGCGTTGATCACTGTGTGATTATTTCTTTACGGATCAAGCATCGCAAGGCGGAATCGTCTAACCAATCGGGTTGATCATCCAATACCTCAGGTCCACGATTCAGTGAGACCGATGATTTTTTTAATCATAGAATGGCTTCACTTGATACTATTGAAGCTCAATTAGAGAACGTTACACAGCTCTCTCTCGGCAGCCTCCAAGGCGCAGCGTTCATCTGCTCAAGCTTTATCAGAATTATCACAAGCATTGTTGAATTTGACTTGTGATTTATCTTAGCCGATTCGGAATGTGTTGGATAGATTAGCAGCTTTACATCAACAATGTTATGCTTGGTCAAAAGAGCAAAGTAAACAAGAGTTGGAAGGTATCAAAGCAACAGTGGAGGCCTGTAGTCGATTGATGAACAGTGTGTGATCAATATTCAGTAGTCGGATCAAAATTTGGGAGAAGTAGCAAGCTAGTCTTAGTAATCTGAAAAAAGTACAGATGAATCATGATAAAGCTAAGCAATATGCAGCCAACAAACAATCGACTGGGCTCAAACATTCATTGGTAGAATAAGTTGAGGTGCGCCATTGATGAAACTTTCAATTCTAGAATGAGTGGATATCCAGATAAACTCTTTCACTTATCCATTTTTTATGTACAATTCCTCATTCTTAGGCTGAGCGGAAAGCGCAGGATGCACGCAATCAGTTTGAAGATGTTCAAGTTAATCAAATCAGAAATGCAACAATTTGAACCAGAGAAAGTCGCAGATTCCAAAAGTGTGATTTGTGGCTATGTTGACGGGATAACTGAAAGACAGGAATGGGTTGGCTTCATTTTTCGATCACATCAATTTGATGATAATCTTTCTCACTCCATTGGTGTACCACATTGTTCATTTTTGGCAGGAGTATTATCATTTGTTACAATCTCTGACTAAACAACACGCCGAGGCAGCTGCAACACCTAACAAATCTGTTCAAGAGCCGGAGCTGGTAGATTCAAACAAAGTGGCTGAGACAACAGCTCTAGATCCATCAACACAAATCGCATCAACAACAAATTATGAGCCTGCTGCTCCGACTAAAGAAAAGACACTTGACCCATGTCCCTTCGGCACGGGCTTGTTAGCCTTTGACGTGTTATCTTGAGAGTAATCCACTATATAAACACATCAGAAGCAAACTCATTAATATGATGAATCCTCTTCTTTTGACCAATTCAGAATATGAAACTTACAGAATTTCAATCAAGTGTATCTCTCAATATCATGAGAATCAAAATCACCCCAGTGACATTGTACATCAAGCCAATACTTTTGACTCGTAGTTCCATCCAGTATATCCCTATAGTCCGTCAACAATGAAGTTCTGGTGATGTTCCACTTGTAAGCACTAAAGAGGAGAATATCCCCACAAGAACTATTCATCTTATAACCCTTTCGAGGATGGATAGTTTCCTCTTGTAAGGCTTCTGATTCTTGATCAAAGACTTATCCCTTCCACACCACCTAAAGCTGCAATCGCCTTCAATCGCCAAAATTTGACATCATGTCTTTGATTATTCCACCACAATGGATTATGTTTTAATAATTGATATTGTTTCCAATAAGTTCTAACTCTCCATCCTGTAAATGTCTAAGAAGACGGTTGACCTGATAACAGCAGTGCGTACGTGAGCACTCTTCTCCAAACCAAAGGTATGCAGACCTTGGTACTAACCTAGTTAATGGAGGATAAATAAGAAGAAAAAGAAATGAAAAGTGAATAACACGTTTGTAGTTAGGTATAAGTGAAAAAGTGAAGAAAAAGATTCAAGAGATAGGTACCTAGTTAATGGAGGAAATTGTTAAAGAGAGAAATGAAAAGGGTTTAATGAGCAATGTGCTCGAATAGTGATCTAAGCGGATTCTAGTGGTATTATAACGTTAGTAATTCTACGTAATGTGAAAGGTATGAAATAACTCACTCTCTTTCCGAAAGATGGGAAAGAGAGAAAAAAAGAAAGGGGGCAAACAAAAATAAGTGCACATATATCAATAACGATGAGACAGAAATTCATTGGGATTGATGTACATCTTAGTCGAGTTGGGGTGATCTCATAATATCCAATCACAGACGAGAAAAAGTGAAAATGAAACATATCCAAAACAACACTTGTCACAACTACATTCATAAAAACTGCATTCACCTTTACCTTGTCTTGATTGTATTTCGACACATCCTTTATGATAGGCCAATGGATGTTGATCTTTTTGAAAGAGTGTATTGATCCTTGGAATCCCTCAATCCCAACTATCTTCAAGATCTTCTAAAGTCAATCTTTGATTTTGTGAATTTGCTTCTGTACGTTTCATAGCATATTTGTTCCACACTCGTGATGGATCTTCAAATTCAGATGACCAAGGTTGAATATAACGATACAAGCTGGGAATTAACTGATCTTCTTCAGGACTCATTCCACTTCTAAAATGGGTGATTCCAGTATCGGTTTGTTTTGACCAACGTAAGTCAGATGCAGGAATCAAGATATGACCCATTGATAACATTCCTAGTCTACCTAATTCTTTAGGTGTATAGAACACAACCGGTGGAAATCTTGAAGCATCTTTGAATTCAATCCAATCTTGACTCGAGTTTGAATCTTGTTTTCACTCTTGACCAATAAATCTAACATCTCATTGGTATGAATCACAGCTTCTTGGTAGTTCATGAGACCAATGATTGCAGGTTCCACTTGTTCACAATCTTACTAAACGTGGTTGATCCGGACACCATCAAGACTTCTCAAATTTGATTATGGGATTGATGGATTCCATAATCACTAACTCTATTACTAAGATATGCTTGAGCAGTCCTTTCCTTGGTAGCTTTGTTGACTAAGTTCCAGACTCCATCCTTCAAGTAACTTCTCCAACAGTACGAATCTTGGGC